AAGACTGCGAGATCTAAACCTGGTGACCCATTCTCTTTGTTCCAGAGCCGTAGGAATGTACAAAACTCAGTGGCAAAACGGTGGATTTTGTAGAGATCTACCTCTCTTTGGGCAAGGCGATCTCGTATTATTCACAACCGCGCCTTGGCTTCCTCGGGCGGAATGATGCTCACGGGCTTGAACGGCACGGCGAGATGGTAAAACACCTGGTCCCACCGATCGTTTCCGAACCAGTCCCTCCGCTGGCCCTGCGAGTTGACGGCGACGATCCAGGGCGCCCCAAACGCCCCGGCCCCCATGGTGAGGTCGATGACCCGTTGCTTGTTCTCCGGAGACACGGCCTTCTTCATGATCTCCCGGATCTCCTCTTCGGGGAAGATACCTTCCAACGCTTTGACGATCCCTTCGGGTTTTGAAATGTTGATGCCCTTGCTCCAGTACGCGGTGCTGAAGGCGGGAAATGTGGCTTCGAACTTCTCCGGTGGGTAGTGGTCTTTGACCCATGTCGCCACACGGACTGCCTACTCACTCACGCGGTTAAGGGGTGGTTGCAATCCCTTTTTAGGGAGGTTAGAACTTACAAATAGAGAGAGGATGGGGAATTCCTTGGGGCGGACGACCTTGAGGCCGAGCAGCTCCCCAGTCAATTCCGAGTCTTGCTTTGCGAAGGCCTCCTTGGCTTTCGGGGTTGGGCTGAAAGGGTTGCCCGCGCCGTCACGAGCGGCACCCAGGAAGAAAGGGATTATGTCGACAGATACCCCGTATGCATTCAGGAGAGGCCGGTAGCGGATCGCATTGGTGAAGCCGAACCACGAGTAAGGAGATACTGGCGACAACGGGTGAGCTCTGGACAAAATGGCGAGTTGGTCTGGTGTCAGACATACCACAATCCACATAGATGGTCAGCTTTCCTCCTTCAGGACCCATCTTTCCACGCTGTTCCTCCCTGCAAGAAATATTCTAATGTGATACGTAGGGGGACGGTGGTGTCCAATGAACGGATAGGAATGACACTAGGAACGCCGCGCAGGTGATTGGTTCGCTACCGCAGTCTCAAGGCTTGTCCTTTGTCGCGACAATGTCGTGATAATGATCGATGATTTCTGATCAATCCATGCCACTCGGCAGAGCCAGAAGGGTTTGATTTAAGGAGCAGAGAAGGTTGTCAGATTCTGTCAGAGAGTAGGTAAAGGGAGGTTGGATCCTGGAGGAATTGATAGAGAAGACTATGGGGAAAGCCGAGGCTCCGCGGAGAGTCGCCACGACCAGCACGACTAATCAACAAATGTCGACACATGCATCCAACCACATACAGTCAGCCTTCTCGACTCCTCTCTACAGTCTCCTTCCGTCTTTTATTGTGGTGTGTCCTCGAAGCTCGGCTCTTCTGCTACGCGCGCAGAGCTTTTCTAATCCTCTCGAGACGACATGCGACAGAAATGGTGGTTGGCTTGGACCGAGCAGGCAAACCAGGAGACGATGGCCTGGGCCTGGCTATAACTTGCATAGCAAGGTGATAGAGTTATGTGTTGTATTGTAGGCAAGTTGTGTGGAGAGGTCGTTTACCAGAACACCATGGAGCAGAAGTATTGTGACTAGGCAAACAGGCATCAACTCCGTGATACATTGATTGGATGTAGTTATGTATGTACCTTGTATGGACAGTCCATGGTTTGTTTCTTCCTGCCTGCCTGTCACCAACTGTATAAGCATGACCCGACCTAGCCAAGGTATCAAGGACCAAGCTTCAATTTGTCTCTGGTCATGAAATTACACTGAGAGCAATAACAAAATCCTTTGGAGTCCATTGTCCATTTCCATACCGAGAACGCTGTATGCTAAAGAGAAAAAAAAAGAGAAAAAGGTCCGAAATGATGGCGATATTTTGACACAATTTTTTCAATTCTTCCCGCGTAACTCTACCCTCACAGCTTTGAGAACATATTCTCCTTCTGTGGCCGGGCGTCCAGCTCGTGGGTCCAGGCACTCCGCGGCTGCGTGTGCAGGAACCAGTACGTCTGGGCCAGATCGGCCGGCTTGACCAGGTGGCCGTCGACGTCGTCGAGCTTCTCGCCCTGGCCCGTGCGCTGCCACTGGCGCCGCGACCACTCGCCGATCAGTTTGCCGTCGACGGGGCTGTCAACGATAATGTGCGCGGCGTGGATCCCCTGCGCCTGGTACTCGCGCGTGATGATCTGGCACAGCGACCGTAACCCGAACTTGCCCGGCGAGAAGCTGGCGAGGCCCGGGTTGCCGCGCAGGGCCCCCGTGGCCCCCGTGAACAGTATCGTGCCTCTGCCCGCGGCGAGCATGTCCGGCAGCACGCACTTGGTTGCCCAGAAGGCCCCGAACAGGTTGATCTTGGTGAAGTTTTCAAATTCCTCCGACGACGTGTCGAGGATGCTGCGCCCGTTGACCCGTCGCGCCCCGGCGTTGTAGACCAGCACCGCCACGGGGCCCAGCTCATCGCGGACCCGCTGGAAGCTCGACAGCACCGAGGACTCCTGTCGCAGGTCCGTGATGTAGTAACGCGCCGATCCCTTGCCGTGGTCCGCGTCGATGCCCTGCGCCATTTTCTGTAGCTTGTCCTCAGTCCGTGCGAGTAGCGCAACGCAGAAGCCTTCAGCGACGAAGCGGCGAGCCACTGCTTCGCCAATGCCTGGGCCAGCGCCCACCACGGCGATGACGGGTTTCTTTTGCGCGTTCAGAGACATGGTGTGAAGTGATGGGTTGCTGGAGGAAGTATTACTGCTGTGCTGGAATGATAGATAGAGGTGACAATCTTTTGTTTTCTTTTCCCCGGGGTCTGAGACTGACTTTGTGTCAACGTCAATGGCAAAACCCGAATTGTGGGGGTGAACCGGATTAAAAGGAAGTTGATTCAAGTGATCGAGTACAAAGGCATATTTGAAGGAAGAAAAATGTCGTTGAAATGTCATCAATCCAAAGGATTTGGTGGCGTCGAGGTCGAGGTCGAGGTTGGGGCAAGGAATAAGTAATCACGAGCCTCGGCCTTCAAACAAACACCGTGGCCATCCGTGGGGCCATACACATAATATAGTTCTGAGAAGATGCATATGGATGCCTCGAATCGGTATACATGCTGATTTTATCATCAGGGTAGCAAGCAGCAAATATCAATTTTGTCGTGCTTCGTACGTAGGACTACTTTGCTACTAGGTTGGGCTTCGTGTGAGACTCTACCATGGAGCACGATAGCTGGGGTGGAAGCATTGAGAGTATGGAGATCTACCAAGACAAGAATCTATCCAGTATGCTAGTGTATGATGCTGCGAACGATGTGTCTAACTGGTGATTGGTGATTGCTCGCTCTCTTCCCTTTCTACAGAACAGTGTCTATCACGCGGGCCGCCTCGACCAGACTATAACTTGCTCCTGGAAAGTTGTTGCCGACTTGGGATCGACCTCGAAAGGATGGATAAGACCTCCTCAGCCTCTCGCTCAATACGTGTAATGAGTTCGGCACACGTGGGAATGTCGTGGATCAAGCCCATCACTTGCCCAGCGTACCACACCTACAACAACAAGTTAGCAACAATTTCCTCTCAAGGTTGCGAGGAGCAGTGAAGACCTACCCCGTGTTGAATGTCACCACCAGTAAGCACCTCTCGGCCTCGGGCACCGCTCACCACTGGAGCGACTTCAGCGAACTCTCCAGTCTTGCTCGTGGACTCGATTTCAATCGTCTTGGCCGTCATTTGGTTGCTGTACATGCGGCTGGTGTTCTTCCACCGCCTCAGAATGAGCGTCGTCTGGTGTTCATCGCTTTTCACAATTGCCTGTTTGACGTTCAGGTGGATAGGTGCCTCGACCGTGCACATGAATCGAGTGCCCATGTTGATGCCCGCGGCCCCCAGACTGAGAGCTGCCATCAGGCCGTAACCATCTGCAAACCCGCCGGACGCGATGAACGGCGTGTCTCCAAGTTCCTGGCGAGCGCGACTGTTCAAGATCAGAGACGCGATGTCAGATTCTCCGACGTGGCCGGCGCATTCGAAACCGTCAATAGACAAGATGTCCACACCAAGTCGGATGGCCGCTTTGGCGTGTCTGATTGTCGTGGCTTTGTGGATCACGATGATACCAGCCTCCTTCAACTTCTTTATGACGGGGCCTGGGCTGTTGCCGGCCGTCTCGACAATCTTGACACCCTCATCGATGATTGCCTGGGTGAATGCCGGATAGTCGGGAGGATTGAGAGCGGGCAATAAAGTGATGTTGACGCCAAAAGGGTTCGGCGTCAAAGACCGCGTCTTTTTGATCTCCTGTCGAAGGTGCTCTGGGTCAGGCTGCGTCAAGGCGTTGATAATCCCAAGACCGCCAGCATTACTGACAGCGGCGGCGAGCTCTGCGTATGCTACCCATTGAAGACCACCTTGGACCACGGGAACCCTGATACCCAACTTACGCGTCAGGGGTGTGTTGAAAGCCATGATTTCAGACTAGAGGCAGAAGAGTCCGATGAGTTTCTGGAGAGTGTGTGGGAATAGACCTCGTAGTTCTCTCGGCCCTCCACTGGCGTTCAGTCGCAAACTCACAACCATAGCCCATATATTGTAATCAGCCAGCGGGTCAATCTGGTGCATTTTGACCTTGTCCGAGGTACGTCGTACTTAACAAACATCTGCGGCGCTGCCGTCAAAAACATGTGATACTACGGCAGTAAGCGTTCGTGCGTAAGACCATCAAAAGCCCCGTCAAGCATGGTGTCCAGATTGGGGCAATGTGTCGAGTATTGTCCGTGGGTACCTGATTATTAAATGAGACACAGGGAGAGGTGAGATTGGTGTCTGAGAACTAAACCTCTTCTGCGACAAGTGTATCACTAATATATAAAACCAGATCCTAGCATCTGCCGAGGCGGATCCCCTATGTAAGCCACCGGCCGGACCTGAATTTTGTTAGAGCCCAAGCATTTCAGCTTTTGAAAACACCCGAGCCTTGGTCGAGAGGTTGCCACACGGGGTCAATCTTCCACCATGAGCCTCGAAATCTCCAGGGAGGAGGTGGCTCAGAACAATACCACCGACAGCTTGTGGTGCATCATCGACTCCAAGGTCTATGACTTGACCGACTTTGCCGACGCACATCCTGGTGGCTCGACTGTGCTCCAGCAAGTTGGAGGGCTTGATGCCACCGTCGACTTCTTCAATCTGCACAGGCTAGAAGTCCTCCAGAAATATGAGAAGTCACTGTGCATAGGCACGGTGAAGGGCGAGACGCCACAGGTCATATATCCCCAGCCCGGGGATCTCAGCCTGGTGCCTTATGGAGAACCGACCTGGCTGTCACCACAATTCAAGAGTCCCTATTTCAAGGAGAGCCATCGGCGGCTGCAGCGGGCTATGCGAGTATGGGTTGAGACAGTCCTGGCCCCTGAGGCGCAAGAAAAGGAGAGCAGCGGAGCCAGGATATCGGACGCTACCATTGTGGAGATGGGGTATGTGTCGCATATCTCCCTTGATTTCTACCAAGATCTAATCGTGATGTTGCTCAGACGCCTTGGAATCAACGCTATGCGCATGGGGCCCGGGCCTCATCTCAAGGGTTTGACTTTGATGAATGGAGCAGTGACGCCAGAGGAATTCGACTATTTCCACGAGATGGTAATCAATCACGAGCTCTGTCGAACTGGGGGTCGGGCTTTCAACGATGGTAACTTGGGTGGCATGGTCATCAGCCTGCCGGCTGTATTGTATCATGCAAAACCCAATATTCGAAAGCGAGTTGCTGAAGAGTGCTTGTCGGGCAACAAGAAGATCTGTCTGGCCATATCTGAGGCGTTTGCTGGGTCAGACGTGGCTGGTATAAAGACCACTGCTGTCAAGAGCCCTGACGGTACACACTACATCGTCAACGGTAAGCCAACGTCTGTTGTTTGCATGTTTCCTCTGACACCTGGGATCAGGTACCAAGAAATGGATCACCAACGGCGTCTTCTGTGACTATTTCGTCACCGGCGTCAAGACCGAAAAGGGGTTCTCTGTGCTGCTCATCGAAAGACAGGAGGGTCTTGAGACCACCCAGATCAAGACAAGCTATTCCTCATCCGCCGGGACAGCATTTATCAAGTTGGACAATGTCAAAGTGCCCGTTGAGAACCTCCTCGGCGTCGAAGACCAGGGATTCAGGGTGATGATGACAAACTTCAACCATGAACGGTGGATGATCACGACATTCAGCATTCGAACAAGCCGGATAATCGTAGAGGATTGTATAAAGTGGGCAAACCAGCGGAGGGTGTTTGGGAAGAAGTTGATCGAGGAGCCGGTGATCAGACAAAAGTATGCGTGGTCTCCCTCTTCTTGCTTTCCACTCCTGCTAATATGCGATTTGCCTCTCAGACTGGCCAAAATGATCGCTTACGCAGAGGCCATCCAAAACTACCTCGAAAATATCACCTACCAAATGTGTAATATGTCCCAGGAAGAACAAAATCGACATTTGGCTGGCCCCATCGGGCTCTTCAAGATGTTTGCCACCCGTGCCGCTCATGAGATCGCCGACGAGGCCGTCAATGTCTTCGGAGGGCGTGGCATCACATCCACCGGCATGGGAAGGAATATCGAAATGTTTCATCGGACGTACAAGTTCGATGCCATTCTTGGAGGGACGGAGGAGATCCTGGGTGATCTTGGTGTAAGACAGGCGATGAAGTATATGCCGAAAGCGATGCTGTGACCCTGGCTTCGTATGCTCTTGAGGACTGTTGGATGGTTAACGAAGAGGTTCACATGGCCACCCGCAGAGCACCTCAATGCGCTGCGAGTGAAAAGAATTGATTTGCCATTTTGTGACCGTATCTTACTTTCGGAGTTGCGCCGTGGAAATGCACGACCAGAACAGCGAAGGGATTTGGGAGGTTTCCGACATTCGGCTGATATTTCATCTTGGCCTGGCTGGCATCTAGTCTTCACTCTAGACACAATGTGCCATCATCAGTTGTAATTACTTCTTACCCAGCAAGCAATGTGTCGAGCCTTGGCAGCCCCTTTTTCAACTCCTCAGCCTCAGCCTCGTCTAGTTTCTCACCAGAGCCAAGTATTTGCTCAGTCTCTCGAGGGATCTATACCTCACCGACACATTAAATGGTAAATTCCGGTAATGCTGTGACGATCGACAAAGTAGGTCAAAACTTGACACCTTGGAGTCTCGCAGATGATGAATGTCTGCTCTTCACGACACTTGGCTGTGCTTAGGTTTAGTGACTCTCCGCGCATAACACCATGCAAATAGGCCTCGCCTAAAGTTTGAAATACCGCTCGCGCTGTGTCCGCCGTAGGACGAAAGGCACCGTCCCGCCAAAAAGGACGCAGCAGATGTCTCCGGGAAACGTGATCAGTGGTGCCAGACCGAAACGGCCCTTTTCGGTGAACATGAAGCTTCTACCTTCGCATACCAGCTTCATGTCGGTCGTATATTTCTCATAGTCTCCATCGGCGTGATCCCGTGGCATCCACTGAGGGAAGTCGTCCTGGTCTTGCAGCCCCTTCCAAAGCCTGTAGAAGGCGGCAAAGTCTTTGCAGTGCTGATCAAGATCATCGTCGGCGCTTCGGTATCTCGACAACCCTGCACAAAGTGTCAAGCTGAGGGCCGTAACTTTGTCGTCCGCATCGTAAGCTTGGCCATTCACCCCACCAAGGGCTTCAGCCATGATATGATCCAGCAGTCCGTCCTGATGTCCAACAGCACGCCTCTCCATTGACAGTCTTCCAAGATCCTCTAAATCCTGTTCGGTGAATCGATATGAACGTCTCACAACGTCAACGAGCATGCCTTCAACATGCAAGTCGTCCGCGTTTATCACGAGCTGACTTTCAGATCGCCCAGAAGCATTGTAACAGAAATCTGGGAAGACTCCGAAATTGCATGCTGTAAGCTCGACGTTGTGATAGAAGGGAAGCCAAGAAAGAACCAAAAGGCTGCTCCAGGTTTCCTCGCTATGGTCCACTGGAGACAGGACACGAAGGCCATGGCTTCTTATCAGCATCTTTCCGAGCTCAAGATAGACGGCCTCATCGGTTTTGTTGTAGGCTGGTTGGACAATCAGCTTCTCGTCAGATTCAACATGAGCCAGTGGATGGCCTAGAAGGGCGTAAATGTGGTCCTTCTTCCACTGGCACGAAAGCCACCGCGAATGGTTCATCAAACCTAGGAAAGTCTGGCTAGGATCCGGAGAGGTTTCTCGCCATTTGGGCGACCAATCCAGCCAGTCTGTATGGACGGTCGCGAAAGAAACATCATATCTGAATTCAAGATGTGGTGCACATCTTGTCGTCCATACGGCGAGTCTCATTAAATCGCGGTAATCAAACTCCTCATTGCCGTATTGACAGACCGATTCTCGCGCCAATCCGACTTCTTGAATAACCCATGCTCTACTCCACCATGGCAAGTGGTGAAATCTTGATAGAGTTTTCCATCTCGGATCATCAAGCGCAGGATCCTCTGCCAACAGAATGGGCATGTCATGCACGGACTTGTATTTCGAGATCATCGCAGCATGCTCCATCACAAGAGAAGAAACGTTTCTTGCATCGCCGTACAGATCGTCCCCGAAATGCACAAGCACTCTTTTCGCACAGCTGTACACTTTACCCATGAAAGCAACTTGATGGCTTCGTTCTTCATCATGCCATTGGTTGATGCTTACAGCGTCGGCCCACAGGATTCGAGATCTGTCTGCGAATCGAACTCTCTTGAAGACTGCATTGAGGCTGATAGTGATAGCGAGAGGTCTCCCGTTCCAAAGGACTGAAATTATTTGAGTAGGGTCGCCCCGGACATAAGAGACAGCCTCGTAGTCAGGATGATGACCTAACTCGGCGATCAGAAGTCGAAGCGAGACAGGATCGTCCCCCACTCCTGGTTGAAGATCTATCATCCTAACCACCTCGCCTTCGAGGAGCGGTAGATAGAGGAGATGTCTAGCGACTGGTCGAGCCATTAGCCGACGATTGCTCGTCTTTCCTTTAGGGATCAATGTCGACGATCACGGCAACTGAGAATGACAGACTTAATTACTAGAAGCAAAGCATCCTGGACGAACTCCGGGTTTGGATCGAAGCAGAGGCTCCTGGAAGATCGTGCAACGATCCAGGTTAATTCGTATTCCACTTGCGCTGCCATTGTTCCACGTCTCAGTCGGGTGCCTAACCGCTCTCAGAGTCCTCGCCAGTCGCAGATCATCAATAGGCGAGAGGTGTCTCCTGTGTTTGCGCGGTGAGTTTCATCTTCCACTCGGCGGGCACGCAGTTCCTGTCTCCTATCGCAGTTAGCAATCAGCTCTCGTGAACGGTCGAATCAAACTTCGTCCTAAAGTCTCCTACAGCTCCCACGGGCAAAGGGCAGGCGTATATTGTCAGGGTTTACTGCATGATGACAATAGTGTGAAACTTGTATTGGGTCCGAATAGTTCTCGTTGTGCCTTTAGCGCAGGCGTCGCCAGTGTCTTCCCCTTATCGATAAGAAAGCGCGGGTGGTGCGGTGGTGCGGGGGACCTTCGGTGCTGCCGTAAGTGCCCATTCTGGACCCTTAGAGCCGAACTCCTTCATTTCTAGGCATTGAACTAGGCACCCACGACCCTGGAAAAGAAATCGTTGGCCTGGTGGAGCTTTCTCCTCTTCCCCCACTAGCGGGCAGGAAAAGATCAGCTGGACTCATAAACTTCAATGAGCCTTTCCCATTATGACATGTTCCTGCGTCACGCGAGATGTTGAGTTGACCAACATTTTTGTCCAAAATCCTTTTGCGTCCAGCCCACCACTCACCAAAATTCGCAGCGGGAACTGTTTTTGAAGACCCGTTGCTCACGATCATTCAGCACTGGATGCTGTTGCTCTTTCGATCGCCTTTATTTCTTCGTTTTCCTAGACTGCTTGCTTCCTCGCATCAACTCTCGGTTGTTCCTAGAAGCACCAACTCCGTCACAATGGACGGGCTTCGGGTGAAGATGTCCAGTCTAACTCCTTATGCAAAGAAGCACAAGGTCACTGTGATCGGTTCCGGAAATTGGTAATGACCGTGCTCTTACTTGTGGGAACTTTACTGACGCAGATAGGGGATCGACTATCGCCAAACTTGTCGGTGAAAACACACTGGAACACCCGGAGCTATTCGAACGGGAGGTGCAGATGTGGGTTTATGAAGAGGAGGTTGAATTGGACAAGAAATCAAAACACTACGACGAGGCCTCTGAGTTCAGTAAAGGAAAACAGAAACTCTCCACTCTCATCAACGCCTTCCACGAGAATGTTAAATACCTTCCTGGGATTCCTTTGCCTCCCAATGTCGTCGCCAATCCTAGCCTGGTCGACTCGGTCAAGAACTCTACCATTCTGATTTTCAATCTTCCCCACCAATTTATTCTCAATCTATGCAAGCAACTCCGTGGCCATATCCTCCCGTTCGCTCGAGGCATCTCGTGCATCAAAGGTGTCAATGTTCACGAGTCCTCCATCAGCTTGTTTTCCGAGACTATTGGGGAGGAATTGGGAATATACTGTGGTGCCTTGTCTGGAGCAAATATCGCCAGCGAAGTGGCTCAAGAGAAGTTTAGCGAAACTACAGTGGCATACGATCCACCGTTGATGGACTCGCAATCACCTACGCCCGCCACATCTCAAGGCCCGAGCCCAGCTTCGAGCCATGTTGACTTGACAAAACTGGTACACAAGGATGTCTCTGGCAAGCCATCGAAGGTCCAGCTCAAACCGCTTCCCGCCGAATATCACTCCATCGACCACGATACGTTGAAGAAACTGTTTCACCGTCGATACTTCCACGTGCGAGTAGTCTCTGATGTGGCCGGGGTATCACTGGGTGGTGCTTTGAAGAACGTTGTGGCGGTTGCTGCTGGCTGGGTTGACGGTTTGGGCTGGGGCGACAATGCCAAGGCTGCAGTAATGCGAATTGGCCTCCTGGAAATGAGAGAATTCGGAAACAGATTCTTCCCTCACACCATTCAATCTGACACTTTTACGGTTGAGTCGGCGGGCGTTGCAGATTTGATCACCTCCTGTTCGGGTGGCCGCAACTTTCGGTGTGCCAAAATGAGTATACAAGAGGGTAAATCGATCGAGGAGATCCAAGAAAGAGAACTCAACGGCCAGAAGCTGCAGGGAGCTTTGACAGCCCATGAAGTAAACAAATTCCTCAAGTACAAGGGAATAGAGAAGGACTTTCCTCTACTCACCGCTGTGTACAACATCCTGGAAGGCAAAGAGAAGGCCGAACATCTCCCGGATTTGATCGAACCAGAAGACGAGTAAGTCCGACGCAACTATTTCTGCATGTGTTCTTCCTCAGCGAAATCGGGGAGTTTGTTTTGCCGAAAGTGGCAGAACTTTGTCCGGAAAGACCGGAGAAGTCTTGGTGTTGACCTACAAGTATGATATGATACCCAGCGACAGAAATGGATGGGTTGAGTGGTATGATACATTGGCCTATGTATGAATATAGCCACCTTGGGGATAGACGAAGATTCCTTTAAAGGAAGTCAGTCAGTCGCCCAGGTGTCGGGTGATCCGATGCTTTACCGCGGCCAGGAACCAGACCAGAGCTTTGATCAATGAATACTCTTGTTTCATTTTGTCTGCTTGTATTCTTTCGTTTCCGCGGATCGTTGACTGAGGGATAGATAGGTCTATACCTCAGCCCAAGGCCGATCCTCCTCCGCCTCCACTTATCGCCCACGCTGCCGGGTCATCGGACTTAGACATGTCGAATCCCAGAGTCCTCGTCACAGAAACACGATCAGAAGATGGACGTTACGAAGACCAAATCCGCTCTGCAACGTCGGAGGTGGAACCTCGTTCGTCTTTATCTGCTCTTCTCCCTGCGCCACCTCTTGCTTCCGGAAGATATAACCGCCAAATGCTAGTCCCTCAAGTTCGACTCCGAGGTCAAGGGTCTCTGCTAGCCTCCAAAGTCCTTATAATTGGACTAGGCGGCCTCGGTTCACCCGCGTCATTGTACCTTGCAGGGGCGGGAATCGGTACATTGGGCCTTATGGACGGCGACGCTGTGGAAATCAGCAATCTCCACCGTCAAATTGTCCACACGGAATTTGCTGCACGCCTGGGTCAAAGTAAAGTCCAATCCGCCGCCACGAGATGTCGGGAGCTGAACCCGGAGATCGTGTATGTCTGCCATGAAGAATCGGCCAGCGCAAGAAATATCCTGGACATCGTGTCACAATATGACCTTGTGCTCGACTGTACCGATAATCCTGCAACGCGCTATTTGATCTCTGACGCCTGCGTGGTCTCGGGAAAAGTGCTGGTTAGTGGTGCCGCGCAGAGAGGCGATGGCATGCTGATTGTCCTCAATAACCCACCCACTTCTTATGAGGGGGACGAAAAGGGACCGTGTTATCGCTGTGTTTTTCCTCGTCCACCGGCCCCGGAAACAGTACGAGGGTGTAGCGAAATAGGCATCCTTGGACCTGTGGTTGGGGTTATAGGGACTTTGATGGCTGGAGAGGCGATCAAGATAATCACGAGCGGCGGGCATATCTCACGTCAACCCAGGGCAGATCAATTTGCGAACGACACGAAAGCTTCCGTCGAGACGCCGACGCAGAAGAAACAACATACAATGCTCCTGTACAACACCTACGCCTCCGACCCACGAAGTATGTTCCGCACGATCGGTTTGCGAGGCCGCCGCAAGGATTGTGTAGCATGCGGCGATGACCAGACTCTAGCAACCAAAAATGTGACGAAAGTCTCGGCAGAGGTGATCTCACATGGCAGACTCGACTACCAGGCGTTTTGTGGCGTCTTCGAAGATGTTAAACTTCTCGACGAGGACAATAGGATTCACGCTGGAGACTTCCTCCGGAAGCAGGTCGAGGAGGAAACACAGCCAGACAGAAGTGGTAAGCAGCAAAGCAAGCCTATTGTGGTGGACGTTCGCGAAGAGCATGAATACGAGCTTGGTCCAAAAGTTCGGGGCAGCTTAAATATCCCAATCTCGCATATTCTGAGGCACGGAAGCGAAGCCTTTGGTGTCCTTGGGGTGAATCCGGGGGCTAGGGCACCTCCCATGGGACCAGATGGAGGTATGATCGATCAGGAATCGCATATCCCTGTGATTACGAGACATGACAGCTACCCCACGAAGCCGAGTGGCCACTCGGACCAAATGCCCCCAGGCCCAGCAAGAGAGACACAAGACAGCGTGAGTGAAGAGCAGTATTCATCGGTGTACTTTGTCTGCCAGCGCGGGAACGACAGCCAAATCGCTGCGCAGAAACTGATAGAAAAAATCGAGGCTGATGCGGCAGCAGAACAAGAAGCCGTGCGGAAAAAGAAGTGGGGATGGATCGGAGATGTCAAGGGTGGTATTATCGCTATGGAAAGACACGCAAGGACAAGCATGTAGGCTGTCCTCGCAGACTCGAGACGGTTTCCGGTTCTTCAGACACTTGTACTTGTACTATCCCTATTTTTAAGAGTCAGTAATCTTGAATCACTAACATATGTCCTCGCAATGGATGGAAACGAAATGAATCTCAGAAGGGGAAAGAAAAAGGTATTCGCATTGACCCATAATTGGTCTCGACCAAAATAGTTGAATCAGCTAGAAGTTGTATCATCATACGATTGCTTTTATTTGATGCTTTTCGAGTAGGAGGGTGCAGTCACAGTTCGTTACATACCTAGAAACAAACAGAATCCCAGGAACGATGTTGTTTAGTATCAAGGCAGAAAGGGTCAGTAGAATCATTATGTTTGCCTGATCCAACATCAACAGACAGCTTTGAGGAGCTATGAAGTTGTAATGCGGATTGAAATGAGAGCGAAAGTTTGGAGTTGAGCTTTGATAGGAAAATTTATCTCGCCGTCTCAGCCTTATCATCCGGCGCAAACATCACAAAACAGCCAAGATATGACTCTCTTTCTATTGGCTATATCCATAGCTGCGATCGGGGTATACGATGAAGCGGGAGAACCCTAGATGCATCATATCAAAGCTTCCCAGACCTGCCTGCGTTGATTGTTCAACAACGACAAATCCCTCAGCCAATTCCAGAGCCATGCGTCTCTTTCGGCTGTGCGCTTTGGCGCTGGCCGCTGAATGCGCCCATGGCTATCTCGATACTACGCCCTTCTTCATGTTCTCAACCTCTGAGTATGTTTACACCAATCCTTGAAGTTTAGGCACATATCAAACTGATCATTGTTCGCCGTACATATAGACTTCTAGCGACGACCTCACACATTCAGTCCGCACCCCTACTGACCTCGGACATCGCATTGACCCTCTCCTCGTGCCCTTCTGACTACTACATTCTCGTCTCGCAACCGGGAGTGTCCGCCAAAGACTACTCCCAATCCAGGAGATCTACACCCTTACTCGCAAAAGCGTTATCGCGTTCCCAGTCCCAAGGGTCGGCCGTCCGGAGTAGCTTGACTGTTCCGGACGTTTTCGGTCGTCTTGAAAGCTCTACATGGGTCGATGTCTTGAAAACCAAATGCGGCGTCTCGGTGGTTTCTATTGATGCTTCAAGAGAAGGAGGAGGTATTCCGACGAAGGAGTTATCCCCATCACCGCGGCTGCTCGAGCTTGTCCTCCCAGCGCCATCTGCTGGCTCGAACAGAGCTAGTGACCTCTCTTCGAACGATGCATTCCTGGCCTCTGTGTTAGACCTGCTGCCAACTCAGAATTACACTGTTCTGTACACGACCAGCCGCTCACAGGGCGGGATGCTGACTGCCCAAGAAGCGGATGGAAAAGAAGCCGCGGAATATGACATGGACTCGCAAATACAAGAGAGTATGCATCTCGATCTGAGGCGAGATCTTGGTGTGCACGCGGGGGCGAACACGGCTGGGAATAACCAGACCATGATTGACGGGCCGTTGTTTGATAAGTATCAATTTTTCACTCCTGGTAGGTTGTCTCTTTTCTTACTGCTCATAGCTGGCTCTATCATCTGCTGACATGTCGGCGTAGGCATCTTCATGGGCTACCTGGTCGGACTCCTCCTGTTATTGATCTTGTACGTGGCCGTTTCCGGCGTGGCCAGTTTGCAAGTCACCTACGCCGCGTTCGACAAAGAGCAAGGACAGCTCGCGACAAAGAAGCAGTAGATTGGGGATCGAATCATTGGCTTTTTGTACGTTGACACATACGAATAGAGCACTGGTTCTCGAAACGACTAGTTCCTGAAAGGTGTCGACGACAATCACTCAGAAGGCGTTGCAACATACATTGAATGGGCTGGGGTGGGCGACTTTGAAGATGTGCAATTCAATATTTGATGCCCCGCGAACAGGTTGACTGGGAACTATGACCCGGGGGAATGTATAGGTATTAATGTCACATAATTTTATGAAAAGGTGCCAGCAATCTGATCCATTCGTTATGTGGCCTACTTGGTTCATTCTTTGCTTGCCACCTGTATGGTCTCTACATACAAGTTCTGTGAATCACTTCGTCTGCCGGATGCCCAATGCTGGCAGGCACCAGACTTTGACGATAGAACATCGTGGTCCCATCGCACTTGATTTGACCGCAAAGCAGGTCGATATAGAAGAGGTTTTATAGAGCGACCTTTAAATGCACCTCTGTCGTTCGAACCTGACCCTTTCTACAATTGAGGTTCCATTATCACGCAAGCTCTCTGCTTTTTGAAACTTTTGACAGTTGAGACGCCTTTTGTCTTCTACTTGATCCTATCCTGCCCTATCCAACAGGTGTCGAGTGTCGCCAACACCCCTTAACGCTGGAAAACAAACATGGATGTCCGGGATTGTTTCTCAGATCGCCCGCAAATCTCGTCGGGTCTTTGAGCCGTAAATCCTTTCCAGTTTACTTCTACCAGAATCTCTCACAAGGGGGATGGTCAAGGGAGTTATAGTCGCTTGATAATGTCGTCCACGACCTCGGTCGTTGTCGCCTTGCCGCCGAGATCGGGAGAGATGAATTTGCCCTCTCCCAGAGACGCGTCCACGGCGTTGTACACCAGCTGCGCGGCTTCGGGCAGGTCCAAGAACTCCAGCATGACGCCCACGCTCCGGATGGTCGCTATCGGGTTGGCGATGCCCTTGCCCTCGATGTCCGGGGCCGATCCGTGGCAGGGTTCGCCGATGATGATGCCTTCACCGACGTTGGCGCTGGGCACGAGGCCGAGCGAGCCGACCAGCGCGGCGGCACCGTCGCTCAGGAGATCCCCGTACAGGTTGGGCGCGACGATGACGTCGTAGTACTGCGGTTGGAGGAACAGCTTGTACACCATGCTGTCGACGATCTGCTCCTCGATTTTCAGCGAGGAGAACTGCGGCTGAGAGAGACATTCGCGCGCCGTGGAGCGGAAGAGCCCATCCGTCTGGGAGAGGACGTTGGATTTGTGCGTGATGGTGACCATGCCTTGCTTCTGCGCCGACGAACCCTGCTGGGGTTGTTCCCGCATCCGCTGCCGGCGCAGTGCGATCTCGCCCGCGATGTTCGCGATCCGCCAGCTCGCCTTGCTCGATATCCGTTTGATCGCCTCGGCGATCTCCCCCCCTTCTCCGTCGCTGTAGGTCTTCTCTTCCTTCACGTACAGGTCCTCGGTGTTTTCGCGCACGATGACCATGTCGATAGGGTGCGGGACGGGCGATTGGAAGGCCGGGGAGAGAGTCGTCTTACAAGGGCGGACGTTGGCGTAGAGGGACAGTTTCTTGCGCAGGGCCACGATCGGAGACGTGTACCCTTGGACTTTTGTTGTAGGGGAGCTGTTTGGCAAGAAGAGCGCAATGTGTCAGTCATCTGGTTTGTGACTGAAGCTTAGGCGTCCCCAGAAAGAGCCAAGCTGTAGGGGATATTGCTCACCTCACAGCCCCGAACAATGCGCCGTCACATTCTTTCTGCAGTGTCTCTACCGTCTTGTCTGGCAGCGCAGTGCCAGTGCGCTTGAAGCACTCGAAGCCTGCATCGAGGTCGACAAAGGAGAACTTCAGGCCCAGCGACGAGGGGAGCGACTCGAGAATGCGTTTGCCGGCCTGAAAGCACGAGTATTAGGGCATGAACACTAACATGGCCGATGGCTGTGGGAAAGCTGGGAGACGGTTCAAGACTCGTACCGGAATGACTTCGCGCCCGATCCCGTCACCGGGGATGAGACCTGTTTGTTGACGCGCATGTCAGCGTAATGGTGTAGAATACCTGGCGAGTGAACATACCTATCCGCAACGTTCGACCTGCCATATCTATAGCGAGATTTGCTTGAGTGAAGAAGGACCCTATTACTGCGCGAAGTGGAGGAGAAAATAATTGCTCGTTGGAGAAGCTCCAGCGCAAGGCTGAGCCCCCACAGCTCTCCGCTATCGGAACAACCTCAACCTCGTTGGGGAGACGAGCTTCTTTTGACAAGGCTTTGCGACCATGCAAACCACATGTACGTGCTAGGCTACTGACGTCCTCGCCATCATTTCAATATGCATCATCACGGTCACGACTTTGTATACGCATTTAGTGCCCTACCAAGCATGAGCCATAGCAACCAAAGTCACATCCATACACAAAATACCAAAAGTATAGCCCCAGAACCGTCAGTCGTCTTAGATTTAACCTCATGATATATCGGGAATTAACGTCAACCATTTCTTCTTTCCAAAAGCAATGCCAAGTTCTCCAACTGAGCATTGAAAGACACGACCCTGTCCAAAATGCCTTGTCCCGAGACATTGCTGATCGATGTTGTAACGTCTCGGATGAGGAACTCAATACCATCATCTTCGACATCTGAGTTTCTGTCCATCTCCTGCTCCACGCGCATAGCAGCTTCACTGAGCGTCCATTTTGCTCTTGTAGACTCTTCGCACTGCCAATGTCGTCGTCTGAGGGTGTCACATTTCAAGGCAACCTGTTCGCGCTCCCTCTTTAACTCGATGTAATCTGCTTGTAGAGCTGCTTTCTCCCGCTTAGACTTCCGAACACGGGCTTCCAGGTTGATGCGATTCTCTACGGCCTCAGACATTGCAAACAATTCATCATCAAGGTCTTTTCCGAAGGCTTCGAGAGCGCTTCGCTTGTTGTTCAGCGATGTCCTTTTATTGGGCTGCGTAACTTCAGGTATGCGGTCAATCGCGTTTGAAATTGTTTCGCGACAAATCTGGGCCAGCACGTCTACCACGTTGGGTTGAGCCCGATCCCTTGCCCGGTGTGCATTCTCCATTGGAGCTTCGTCGTCTTCGTGGATAGTCGGCAATATCGAGAAGCCAGTCAGCCGGTGCGTGAGAATAGGAAAGGTAGTCACGGTTTTGTCGCCTGTGGAAATTTCCGCTGGACTTTCTCGGTAGCTCTGTCGGCGAGTCTTTCTCTTGCCTTTCGTACTTGCAGCAGGCGTTTCGACTTCAGGAGAGCTTTGTTCAATGTACGAGCCATCGTCCTCATCT